AACCTGGGAAACCGTTTTAACTGACAAAATATCATAATTTTGAAACCAATGTAACACACTTTTTATCACTAAAACTTAAAAGGAAGATCTGTTGCATCATTATCGAAAGTTGTTGCCTGAGAACCAATTGTTATTTACAGCCTGATCAGTTTATGTTAGTGCCACAACGGTGTATGTATTAACAGAAAATATTTCATCCTTGAGTGGATACACATATTTTTTATGTATTGATATGTCTTTCAGAATGTTTTGGCAAATACTGCCTCTCTTATACTGTGTTGTATGTTACTTGTACATAAACCCAAAGAGTTGTAAAACAATGCTATTTTATTCATGTCAGCATCTCATTGCTTGTGTCATTACAAGAACATTGCACATGTTCTAAAATATCATTGTCATTGTCATGATGTTTATGCAAACTGGTATTTTGTAAAGCTTTAAAAATGGCCAAAATGTAATGTTAGTCTAGCTGTAGAATTACTGGTTTTATAAGAAATGAAAGGGAAATATTAATTAGAATTAATTTGAATTTTGGTATTACTTACACTAGTTGATCTATTTTTAGACACATTGTCTTTGCATAACAGCTTGCATCATATGAGCACATTGTAATTGGTGCTTTGTTTATACTTATTTAATGATTATTGATGTCATTTATACTAATTTAATCATTGACACTATGTACATATGTTGGATCTCATTATTGAGATCTTGAAGCTAGTCCATTCGTTTTGAGATGGTTAGTCATGGTACTGATAGGATAATACCCAGATCCAAATCATAGCTATACAATGTCTGACTTTTTATTTATTAATAATCTGTTATTTTATTTATTTTTATTTCAAAAGTGAGCAGGTTGTCCAAAAACTTAACCTTTAAAGAACCCCATTCATTTGCTCTTTGAAATTGCTTTTGTTATTGTCTAGATTTCTGATATTGAATAGATTTTGTGTTATATAGGTTATATTTACTTTAAATGGCAAACAGTATTGTGTCATAATAAGCTCACTATTAGCACTAATATAAGTAACATGTAAACCACTGTATATCTGTGAAGGACATGATGGTCTTTGAAGGTAACACATGTTGTCATTTTGGCACAGAACTTGTCCTCCTTACCTTTAATTTGAAAACAGATCTCATGAACAAAATAATCTTGCTGACCAGAGCACTGTATGTATTATCTCTCCTTGCCGCCATGTGGATTCCAAGGCAAAATACATTGAACAACCTTAATATGCTTGTCATACACGTCAAAAAAGGCATCCTCGATTATCCAGTGTATTGTGTCCCTGTTCTATTATGATTAACACCTTGGACCAGTTTGCCACTATCACTCCTGGGTTGAATTATTAAACATAGCTGTCCATTTGTCCAATCAAATTACTCTCACAAATGTACGTGAACATCCGGGGTAGAATTGGTTTTCAGCACCTTACAGGATTCGGGTGGTCAGACTCGCTGACTTGGTTGATGCAGGGTGATCGTATCCCATCTACGTGGATCGATGCTGATGATATCAATCACTGGATTGTTGGAACATCGTTGGAACCACAAATATTTGGAAAATGTGTAGGAATCTAAGTGGAAAGGGGACATAAAGTACCTATTATATTATTTTATGTTGCCTAGTTTTATAACTTTCCATGTAAACATTACTCAGATTATCTGCTGAGATTATTGTTATATTGTAAGTGAAGGAAACGCTATGCCTAAAGTAATGTTGTCTGACAGCTGTAGACTAACATCATATCTCTAAAATGAACATATTTTACCGAAAAGACAGTTGTTAGATTATCTTTTTAAAATATAATAAAAAGGAGCCCAGAGATACTTCATTTTCTGAACTACAGTTATCTGGACTTGCCCACTATTATTGACTTGCTTGGACTGTATGGTAGACTATGACAGCCGTATAACCAGTGTTTGAAGCTAGGCACGTTTAGAAGCTACCATAATTTATGTATAACGATATACCCATGCAATGTATTGCCACAAATGCTTCAAGCCAACTCGCATGAGTAACTTTAGAATGTAAGACACTGCATCAAGCTTTGCATTCTCTGGATACTGGTTACAAATATGAGACCAATAGAGTGCGTTAGGATATTTTATTGATCTTTCTCCATGGTAACCATTCAGCCATTTTGTATTACTGTGTAAAAACATGACAATGTATTTAAGTTTGTACACAGCTGATTATGTTTGTGATTAACACGGACTAATAAACTATCAGGACAATTTTGGTTGATGTTATTACTGATGTCACGATGTGGCAGGTGACTGGAATGTTTATTTGTTTGCCACAACATGCTGCCTGTTGATAGAGCAAGGATGGGCAACAAAACTGTTGATTGACTGAATAAGCATACAGGATGTGCTGGGGTTATGCTGGTATAGTCAGTCATTGGTTTGTCAGCGGCAGTCTTAATATTATGTTTTGATGTCGAGATTGTGTAGAAACCTGATGTAGGTTTTCCAACATGGCATGGGTGATATGATAGCTATCGGTCACATTGTGTGGTATTGTGATTAGACTTGTTGGAGCGGTGCTCATTTTCTATATGGCTGGTTTACAATCTCTTACTGCGATATATTTATCTATTATGAATTACTGAAACAAATTTCATTCAACCCCCCTCACATGTATTAACAAAGATCAACACCATACAAGGATCAGTTTCTGTATATATAGAGGTGGTTTGGTGGCCTAGTAGTAAAAGTAGTCACTCATCGCCCCGAAGGCCCAGACTCCATTTCCTTATACTGATTGAATCCCATTTTAGGCTCTCTCGCCCTCTTTCGTACAAGCAGGGGTAAATAACCTGTGGAAAATGGACAAACTTGAGGGACGTGCGGTGATCAGGAACTTGCAGACACCGTCTTAACACCGAAAGCCACCATGAAGATATGAGTACAACACCAGGCAAGCCTGTGCTTCCTTTAAGAGGATGACAGCACAGTTTAAGCTTCAAAGGGGGGTCTTGATAACGATCACCGTCCTGGAAGTCCTGTCACATGAGCAACACAAGAAATGATCCAGGATTCCTTGATATATTAATGACTGACCGGCGAATGACTGAACGTCTGAACAGTGGAAGCATTTGACATCACGGCCATAAAAAAGACAAAGGATGTCCAATCAGCTGGAAAGGTTATGGTCCCGTGTTAAAGATACTGAGAGTGTCATCATGGTGGACTATCTTCCCAGGCCGGAGCATGTTATGCTGCAATTGCGGCAATTATTGAATGAAATTAGGACAAGGAGACGTGAGAGGCCGAGTAAAGACGTACTGTTTCATCAGGACAATGCACCAGTGCACAAATCAGTCATTGCCATGGCTTCAAACCCCGAGTCATCGCCTCCATTCTCCTGATTTGACTCCGTCAGACGTCCAACTGTTTCCAAACATCAAGAAACACTCTTGCCGAAACCCATTTCGACTAGACTCACAGCATCTGTGGAGAACCTTTTGGATCGCCAAGATAAGAACTTTACAAAACTGGGATAAAATCCTGCAACATCGTTGGCAAAGTGTATCAATGGGGAAGGTGGTTATGTTGAAAAATAATATCATTTAAATGCCTTTAGGTCAAGTCTTTTTGTTTGAGGTTCAGGACGTTTCAATCATCTCTCGTACAAGCGTCTGAAAGACATATTCACTCTGTAGTGGTACTTGCATTATGCCGACTAATGCGTTTTTTCGCTCAAACACTCACTTGCAAACAACGGACTGAAATGTGCTTGTATGTGCATGCGTGTGTCACTCCCTAACTTTTGTTACTTGAAGGTTATTATATGGCCGTTTTCATATCATACCCCATATCAACCCGAGACCTTCGTATGGGTTGATATGGGGTATATGAAAATTCTATATAATGACCCTTTTATCATATGCCATACCTTTGTAAAGCCATATCAGCCCGGCAGTGGATACAATACGATGTCTGGTTATTCCACCCCCTGTGATATGACCGTCTGTATGTTGGCTCTCGCCACATGCAAAATGCCTCAAATCATTGATACGTGTATGATAAAAATAACTTATATCATCTCTAAAAACGTTTCACCCCAGATACCATCTTAGAATCTGAAGCTGGAACTAATGACACCAAAATTGACATGCATCAACCAAGTCGGCGAGTCTGACCACCCAATCCCGTTAGTCGCCTCTTATGACAAGAATAGTCGCATTTTACAGCAAGCATGGGTTGCTGAAAACCTATTCTACCCGGATATTCACGGGACAGCTACATTGTGAATTGTATCTGACAGTGACATGAACAGTCAAACGCGGTGGTATAATTTAGTGCAGGGAAATGATTATAACGATGCAGGCGTTGTTACAACTGTATAACATCACGCTACCGCCCAAAAAGTACTGCTGTCCTCACACCACAGATGTTACAATATTTGGGGCAATACTCGTGTGCCGAGGCTTCATCGGAGCATATGTCACTTGTATCGTCGAGCCACTTGCAGCTGATGCCGTCCATATCTTTGCATCCTGAAAACGTTGTGGCGACAGTAGTTGTTGTCGTCGTCGTTGTAGTCGCAGTAGTAGTAATTGTTGATGTTGTTACGTCCGAAAGTAACGAGAAATGTGATATAAAACTGGCTGCGTTTCCTCTCAGTATATATGATTTCTTGGTCACCTCTCCTAAATCTATGACCTCAAGAATTGATTCCAAGTGTTTCCATTAGTTCGCTTCTGTTATTTGGATGTGGTATGGTTATTTATAACATATATTCTACGTTACATAAAAATAACCATAAGTAAGAACACGAAGTTCACGTAGAGATGGGGTGTCGGACATTTCGATTTGGTCAAGATATCCAGTTTGTTTGGCTATAACTCAAACATTAGCTGGCACGTTTTTGCTCTCAGTCGATTTGGTCCGTTGTGGCATTGGTCCTGTTGACTGTTTTCGTTAGGTGTACTTACCGCATAAATCGCAAAAGTTCTGACAGTGAGTCAAGGCCCACGACGCATACTGTGTACACACAGACTTGCCGTACGATGAGCAGTCCTTTAAGTTATCCAAACAAAATTCATCTGAAGCAAAATAAAGAAACGAAAATGGTAACGGAAATGAAAACGTCCCGTAACATTTTCTAGCGTTCTTGAGCAATATTATGACATGCACCGAAACAGTCTGATTTCTGTCCTATTTTTACCTATTAGAAGAGTACTGTTTCTTCCTTTCCTTCATCCATAATAATTTTGTGCAGCAATTATTTATATGGAAATTTATTTATTTAATGAAGAGTTGAGTGAAACCGTTTACCGTTTTTTCCTGAAACTCAAGTCACACCATGCAGTGTTTTTTACCAACGGCATGTTTATATGTTAAAAAGTATAAAGATAACCATTCACATTCACATCCAATATTCTTCTGTGAAGAATCGGCCCCTGACCGTCGGTGGCACGCGTGAACGACTTAACAATGTGTCGTCAAATTGAGATTGAAATGACAGTCGTGTTCCAATTGACTGGTAATATATTACTACTGCTCTATCGTTATTTGGCTTATAAAAACATTCCCTTAGAGCCGTATTACAAATAATCTTCATCATAGCCCGGTTTGTTAGAAATGTATAACAGACTTTCACTTACATGTTGTTGTGTCGTCAGTAAGTGTCTGTTAAGGTTAAACGCCGCTATGAACTGTATTTGAGCTACATCATGGCGTGTTAGCGTAATGTGGAGGAAAAGACGAAATAGCGTAGACATTTTACCACGTAAATGTTAAAAAGAATCAAACCAGGTCGAATCAAAGACTTATGTACCCGGTCATACTAAAGGGCGTATGTTTGCACAGCGAAATGCGGCACCTTAGACCGCTTTGTCAAACTTGACTGTTGATACTAAATTAACGTATTGCTTTTTTAATTCTTTTCTTTCATTCAAATGTCAAGCTATTCCATTTTTTCTCAAATGTTCACCGTACTGAACGTGCCCGTTTATGGCGTAGGGTATCACAGAAGTCATACCTTTCTATATACAGGCGTGTACCCTGTCCTTACAAGTACAACCCAAACCGGTGCACCATTTAAAGAACTCGCCCAGCTGTTGTAGTGCCATATTATGTGGCCAGCTAGGGTACTTTTCTGTGTTCTGAATTTCGCCAGAATATATTGCTGTTGTACCATCCACGACAACTACACCTTCAGCGTTAATGTCTGCACCTGAACTATACATTTCACATACCGCAGAAACCACAATACTGCTTGCGTTTCTGACGCGCCCACACGCCATACTGACTACACGCCGACTTGCCGTACAGGTGACAGTTAGGTTCCTCGTCACCACACATGGTGAGATGTGTATCTGAAACACAGACCTTACGTTAGTGTTCTCTGGGTGGCCATATGTCTGTGAATATCCCAGTGTTCTCTAGGTGGGCATATGACTGTGAATATCCCACTGTTCTCTAGGTGGTCATATGTCTGTGCATATCCCAGTATTCTCTGTGTGGTCATATGTCTGTGAATATCCCAGTGTTCTCTAGGTGGCCATATGTCTGTGCATGTCCCAGTGTTCTCTAGGTGGTCATATATCTGTGAATGTCCCAGTATTCTCAAGGTTGTCATATGTCTGTGCATATCCCAGTGTTCTCAAGGTGGTCATATGACTGTGAATATCCCAGTATTCTCTAGGTGGTCATATGACTGTGAATGGCCCAGTGTTCTCTAGGTGGTTATATGACTGTGCATATCCCAGTGTTCTCTAGGTGGGCATATGTCTGTGTATACCCTAGTGTTCTCTAGGTGGTCATATATCTGTATATATCCCGGTGTTCTCTAGGTTGTCATATGTCTGTGCATATCCCAGTGTTCTCAAGGTGGTCATATGTCTGTGCACATCCCAGTGTTCTCAAGGTGGTCATATGTCTGTGCACATCCCAGTGTTCTCTAGGTGGTCATATGTCTGTGCATATCCCAGTATTCTCTGTGTGGTCATATGTCTGTGAATACCCCAGTGTTCTCTAGGTGGTCATATGTCTGTGAATGTCCCAGTGTTCTCAAGGTGGTCATATGTCTGTGCATATCCCAGTATTCTCTGTGTGGTCATATGTCTGTGAATACCCCAGTGTTCTCTAGGTGGTCATATGTCTGTGAATGTCCCAGTGTTCTCTAGGTGGTCATATGTCTGTGAATGTCCCAGTATTCTCAAGGTTGTCATATGTCTGTGCATATCCCAGTGTTCTCAAGGTGGTCATATGTCTGTGAATGTACCAGTGTTCTCTAGGTGGTCATATGTCTGTGAAAGTCCCAGTATTCTCAAGGTGGTCATATGACTGTGAATATCCCAGTATTCTCTAGGTGGTCATATGACTGTGCATATCCCAGTGTTCTCTAGGTGGGCATATGTCTGTGTATACCCTAGTGTTCTCTAGGTGGTCATATGTCTGTATATATCCCGGTGTTCTCTAGGTGGTCATATGTCTGTGTATATCCCAGTGATCTCTGCGTGGTCATATGTCTGTGCATATCCTTGAGTTCTCTAGGTGGTCATATGTCTGCATATCCTAGTGTTCTCAAGGTGGTCATATGTCTGTGCATATCTTAGTGTTCTCTAGGTGGTCATATGTCTGTGCACATCCCAGTGTTCTCTAGGTGGTCATATGTCTGTGTATATCCCAGTGTTCTCTAGGTGGCCATATGTCTGTGCACATCCCAGTGTTCTCTAGGTGTTCATATGTCTGTGTATATCGCAATGTTATCCAGGTAGTCATATGTCTGTGCCAATCCCAGTGTTCCCTAGGTGGTCATATGTCTGTATATATCCTAGTGTTCTCTAGGTGGTCATATGTCTGTGTATATCTCAATGTTCTCCAGGTAGTCATATGTCTGTGTATATCCCAGTGTTCCCTAGGTGGTCATATGTCTGTATATATCCTAGTGTTCTCTAGGTGGTCATATGTCTGTGTATACCTCAATGTTCTCCAGGTAGCCATATGTCTGTGCACATCCCAGTGTTCTCTAGGTGGTCATATGTCTGTATATATCCTAGTGTTCTCTAGGTGGGCATATGTCTGTGTATATCCCAGTGTTCTCTAGGTGGTCATATGTCTGTATATATCCTAGTGTTTTCTAGGTGGTCATGTGTCTGTGTATATCTCAATGTTCTCAAGGTAGTCATATGTCTGTGTTTATCCCAGTGTTCCCTAGGTGGTCATATGTCTGTATATATCCTAGTGTTCTCTAGGTGGTCATATGTCTGTGTATATCTCAATGTTCTCAAGGTAGGCATATGTCTGTGTTTATCCCAGTGTTCCCTAGGTGGTCATATGTCTGTACATATCCTAGTGTTCTCTAGGTGGTCATATGTCTGTGTATATCTCAATGTTCTCCAGGTAGTCATATGTCTGTGCCAATCCCAGTGTTCCCTAGGTGGTCATATGTCTGTGCCAATCCCAGTGTTCTCTAGGTGGTCATAAGTCTATATATATAGTAAGTGTTCTCTAAATGTGAAATGTGGCAAAGTAGTCATTGTGCTGTAAATTCTATAGCTGCAAGTATACAGATGCATATATCGTAAGACGTTCGTGTAATACTAACCACAGACATTGCAGTATTTTTTGCAGTTTTGGTGTGCCCAGAAAGTATTTTTGACACTGAGTGGATATATCTGTGCATGTTGGTTCTGAAATGAAATAAAGTCACAATGGAGATTTTGACGAAGATTACTACTACTACCACTACCACTACCACTACAACCACTACATCAACTAATCAACTAACTACTACTACTACTACTACTACTACTACTACTACTACTACTACTACTACTACAACTACTACTACTACTACTACTACTACTACTACTACTACTACTACTACTACTACTAGACCGCCTCTATGGTCTACTCGATAGAGGCAGGCCACATCATACCAAAAGATGTGACATGTTTTCGGTATTAGGGGGCTAAAAAAGGACTGGTCGGCTCGGACTCAGTATACAGTGTCTGGGTGGGGAATTATTTTACATGCGGCAGGGTATCTTATTGGGCTAGCAATACTACTGCGACTACTACAACTACTACTACTACTGCTGCTCACTATTGCTATGGCTACTATTGCTGGCTTTATTCTGCCCTATGACAGCCAGAAAGCAGAACTATTCTTTTGTATGTAAGCATCGATTTAGCAAAAGTAGACCTTACTTAATTTGTTCGTTACATTCCAGCATGGTAGAACAGACATTATGCTTGCATCTTCTTTAATCAAACCAGTCTGAAAACACCAAGTCGTTTTGTAACATCAAATGCACAACAAACACAACAGCGGCCGTATAAATAGATAATGGGTAATGAAGGCTTTCAACCCAACATTGATAATGGTACTCCATATGAGAGGTTCAGTCCAACCAACTAATATAGATACTGGTACACTACTTTCAACACATCATTCCTATATGGATGTAGGTACAATATATAAGGGTCTTCAGTCCATCCGTCCCATATGTGAGTGTTCAATCCACCCTTCGTATATGGATAGTGGAACGCTATATGAGGGTTTTCAATCCCCCCTTCGTATATGGATAGTGGAACGCTATATGAGGGTTTTCAATCCACCCTTCGTATATGGATAGTGGAACGCTATATGAGGGTTTTCAATCCACCCTTGGTATATGGATAGTGGAACGCGATATGAGGGTTTTCAATCCACCCTTCGTATATGGATAGTGGTACACTATATGAGGATTTTCAATCCACCCTTCGTATATGGATAGTGGTACACTATATGAGGATTTACAATTCACCCTTCGTATATGGAAAATGGAACACTATATCATGGTTTTTAATCCATCCTTCGTATATGGATAGTGGAACACTATATCAGGGTTTTCAATCCACCCTTCGTATATGGATAGTGGAACACTATATCAGGGTTTTCAATCCATCCTTCGGATATGGATAGTCGTACACTATATGAAGGTTTTCAATCCACCCTTCGTATATGGATAGTGGTACACTATATCAGGGTTTTCGATCCACCCTTCGTATATGGATAGAGGTACATTATATGAGGATTTTCAATCCATCCTTCGTATATGGATAGTGGTACACTATATGAGGATTTTCAATCCACCCTTCATATATGGATAGCGGTACACTATATGAAGGTTTTCAATCCATCCTTCGTATATGGATAGTGGAACGCTATATGAGGGTTTTCAATCCACCCTTCATGTATGGATAGTGGAACGCTAAATAAGGGTTTTCAATCCACCCTTCGTATATGGATAGTGGAACGCTATATGAGGGTTTTCAATCCACCCTTGGTATATGGAAAGTGGAACGCTATATGAGGGTTTTCAATCCACCCTTCGTATATGGATAGTGGTACACTATATGAGGATTTTCAATCCACCCTTCGTATATGGATTGTGGTACACTATATGAGGATTTACAATCCACCCTTCGTATATGGATAGTGGTACACTATATCATGGTTTTTAATCCATCCTTCGTATATGGATAGTGGTGCATTATATGAAGGTTTTCAATCCACCCTTCGTATATGGATAGTGGAATGCTATATGAGGGTTTTCAATCCATCCTTCGTATATGGATAGTGGTACACTATGTGAGGATTTTCAATCCACCTTTCGTAAATGGATAGTGGTACACTATATCAGGGTTTTCAATCCAACCTTCGTATATGGATAGTGGTACACTATATCAGGGTTTTCAATCCATCCTTCGTATATGGATAGTGGTTCACTATATGAGGGTTTTCAATCCACCCTTCCTATATTGATAGTGGTACACTATATGAAGGTTTTCAATCCATCCTTCGTATATGGATAGTGGTTCACTATATGAGGGTTTTCAATCCATCCTCCGTATATGGATAGTGGTACACTATATGAAGGTTTTCAATCCATCCTTCGTATATGGATAGTGGAACACTATATGAAGGTTTTCAATCCATCCTTCGTATATGGATAGTGGTACACTATATGAAGGTTTTCAATCCATCCTTCGTATATGGATACTGGTACACTATATGAAGGTTTTCAATCCATCCTTCGTATATGGATAGTGGTACACTATATGAAGGTTTTCCATCCATCCTTCGTATATGGATACTGGTACACTATATGAAGGTTTTCAATCCATCCTTCGTATATGGATAGTGGTACACTATATGAAGGTTTTCAATCCATCCTTCGTATATGGATACTGGTACACTATCTGAGGGTTTTCAATCCATCCTTCGTATATGGATAGTGGAACACTATATGAGGGTTTTCAATCCACCCTTCGTATATGGATAGTGGTACACTATATGAGGGTTTTCAATCCATCCTTCGTATATGGATAGTGGTTCACTATATGAGGGTTTTCAATCCACCCTTCCTATATTGATAGTGGTACACTATATGAAGGTTTTCAATCCATCCTTCGTATATGGATAGTTGAACACTATATCAGGGTTTTCGATCCACCCTTCGTATATGGATAGTGGTACACTATATGAGGGTTTTCAATCCACCCTTCGTATATGGATAGTGGTACACTATATGAAGGTTTTCAATCCATCCGTCTAAAATAGATAGTGGTACTCAGTATCAATATGAGGATGTTCCTATGTATCCGAGCGCTGTCAGTTGATCAAAACTACGAGGGGTGGCTGAAAAGTTCTGATCCCAACTACGAGGATGTATAGTTCACATATTGCGTGTAGAAGTACAATACAGGCCGCATTGGAAACACATACATAACAAGGCAGCATATTTCTGCAGTCGTCAAAGTGACATGGTATTCTCTGTCGATACAAATGGACAAATATGGCTACCGCGCTGCCATCAAGTTTCTCCAACAAAAACTTCAGTAGCCACCTATGCGGACATGGTGTCAACTTGTCCAGGGGGTGATACTCTTTCCCCCGCTGCTGTCGAGAGGTGGGCATAGGTATTCAAGACGGTAAGAGAGATGATCAGGAGGTACTGCCACCACTCAGAAAAATACGAAGGTAGGCAATTCTACCTTCTTCAACATTTCTACACATTGGTACACGTGTTGGAGCTTTTGTCCTACCTCATTGCCGTGTTTGACCTGGAACCACACGGCCTGGTGACTGTCTCCAACTTTGTCCTCAATGCCTGTACACTCACCACGTGCTACCACTAAGTGCCCGGTATTCGTTGGGACGCTGAGATCCTCTTTAGCACACAGACAATCTATTGCCCCTGTAAATAATATAAGCACTGACATTAGTCTATCCCAGTTAAATAGCGGGGACTTAAATATTCTGTATTGTACGAATTTACAGTTTTACATATTACACCACATTTCCGGGGATACTGAAGTCGGATAGAGCAAATACTATTAAGTATTCGATTATAACAAACAAGTTAAATGTCTTCTCGTTCGTAAGCGGTATTTTGATTTAGTACTCAGTTGAATGAAACTTCGACTAAGTTACATGTTGATCCCATGGTGTTCGTTATAACCGGATCTGATTGTGAAATTGTAGTTCTATACAGTTTTTATTTGTTTTCATAAATTTTGAATTTGTTTAGAGAGGCTGAGTAAATTAAATGAAAGCACGTGGCTTGAAACACACTGGGACACGTTTCCATGGCAACTATTTCTTAACTTATATTCTCAGTCACGATGTGTGCACATGACATGATAACGACCAACTCGTGTCAAAGCGTGCACATCACACTATTCCCTATTTGTATGGAACTGTTCACTACCGTCTGTATGCTTATCAAACGAGTGCACTAGGATCTATATGCCTACACGTGTATGCACTATCATCTATATAATTATTAACGTGTGCACTATCATCTATATATCTATAAAAGTGTAACTATCATCTATATACCAAACTTAACCCCCCTGTACATAAAATGGACGTGTCCAACATTGCCGAGGTCGGATTGTATTCAGGGAGTCATCATTATTTACATACAGGTAACTGTTTTTATAACTTGTACATTTTATTGACATCCTTAAAAAGGCTTTACAAAATGTTGATATCTCATATAAGAAATAAACGACTCGTGGTCGTTGCTTATCGTACAGTAAAACTCTGCAAGAAGAATCAATATATTTCTATAATAAAAGAGTGCACTATTATCTAAACTGACGACCAAATAAAACTTTAATATAGTATTAAATCACTATATTTTTAAAACTACAAATATAGATGCATGAGTGAGTGAGTATGGTTTTACGCCGCTTTTAGCAATGTTCCAGCAATATCACGGCGGGGGACACCAGATGTGGGCTTCACAAATTGTACCCATGTCAGGAATCGAACCCGGGTCTTCGGCGTGACGAGCGAACGCTTTAACCACCAGACTACCCGACCGCCCCCTATATATACAGATGCATGAAGTAAAATGTATCGAAAAGATCAAACTCTTCACAAAATCAAAATTTAAAATGACAGTCATACAGCATCCGTAATGGGATGTCCTCAGATCTTTGTTTAGCGGCAGCGAGAACTCAGATCTGATTTTAATGAGATTGGTTCACGGCCTGTCTGATATCTGCCCGGTCTTTCTATAACGTTGCATGAGGTAAGTAACATTAACACGTCAGCAAGCAAAAGTTTTTACAACGTGGGCATGGGTGGCACCCATCTGTATCATAGCCAGGGCCCGCTCGCGTTTTTCGGGTGTCATAGAGCATTGTTGTGTTTGGACGATGTGTTTTCCATTGATGTAGTTTGAACTTGTGTTTTTAAATCTTTGCAATTTCATCTATAAAGTGGTAAAGTTTCTTTCGGCCGTCAGGCTATATGCCTACGAACGTGTTGACTTTCATCTCTACAAGAAATACACGTCTCCTGGTAATTGTTTATGGTACAATGAGACACTTAAGGGAGAATAAATCACGAGAGTCGAAGCCCCGAGTGGCTTCTTCTAGCGTTTTATTGTACGATAAATGAGTGAGTGAGTGAGTTGAGTTTAACGCCGCTTTTAACGGTATTCCAGTTATATCACGGCGTGTCAGCTTAATGTGGGAGGAAAGCCCGAAGTGATGCAGGTCTCAGACGTATACCACCTCGGTGACACCCACGAGCACAGGTATGGTGCTGACAAACCTAGAAACATTTACGGGGCGAACCGGGATTCGAACCCACAATCATAGGTTTCTGGCGTGCTCAAGGGACGCAAATCTGCACAGCGAATTGCGGCGCCTTAGACGACTGGGCCATCCGTGCCCCCGTTCGATAAATGACCAGTAGTCCTTTATTCCTTATATAGATGAGATATCAATTTTATTTACAGCCTCTTTAAGTAGGTTAATAGAATTTACAAGCTTTAACAATATTTACCCGTATTTTTTTAATTAAAACGTTTAGCTAAATGCGTCTTAGCAAAAACCGTATTCCTAATGTTAAGTCAAATGAAAAGATTAACCTGTATTAACAAGGAGATGAAAAATAATATGTATGCTCTATGACATGACGTAATCCCGGTTACGTTAAGAATTACCAATGTGCCCCTACCTTTAATTTTCCGAATCCGCCTATTTTTATGGGATCACTGTAAGAATATAATAAGTATATCTTGTACATAGTAACACTTACCTTGGGCAGGCAAAATGGCAAGAAGTAAGTTAATGACTATGAACATCGTAATAAACAATCTGTGGTATACAACTGTTGTATAAGTCATTCCGTGTCAACACACCCCGGATAACTTATCTTTATAACTTCATGTATCCATGTCTCGGGCAGTCTTGTCTACTGCCCTCATTCGGCATATGTAGGAAGTATGTTTAGGCGTGGGTGTGGTAGAGACACTCGTGTACGTTATGAAGTTCACAAACGGTTCTTGTCAGGCTCATCTGTTCCTTGATAGCCATGTTTTTCTTGTTATAGGTTGCGTTGGTAGTAATGTGACAAATCAATGGGGGTTATGTCGCACACATGGCATTAATCACAATATATAGAACTTGGATGAAAAGGTGCTTTAAATCATAGTCCCTCTTAGAAAGACTCTGGCTAGTTGGCAATCCAAGCAAGTCTCCTTCAAGTTATCCAAATACAGTCTGTTTGTCTTACCATATCAAGGTTATTGTTTTGTGACAATCTAAGATTAAATGAGTTTAAAAAGCAAACAATGACGTGTCGTTCTAGTTCTGGTTGTTACGTTCGTGCTCTGCAAAATCCACAGCTCAAGTCGTATGTATTGTGAGCGATTCGGTAGCCTATAGGTTACAGTGTTTGCTAATGAACCCATGCTCAAGAACCATGTTCGATTCCGGTGTCTCCCGCCGTGATCCGATGAAGCTGCAGAAGTGATGGTCAGAGGGACAACAATTTCCTTCCTGTCAGAATACCTTGTTCAAGTTAATATACTTTTGACAGCGTTTCGTTTGCAATATGAAAAGAATGTCTTGACAAGTCTGTTCGCAGATAAACATAAAAATAATGAATTATTAATCAAGAAGTGGATGATACACCAGTTTCCTCTCAACATGTATAAGAGGACCGTAGAAAGGTGTGAGAACAGATAATGGGTTAAGAATGTAGTTGAATTTCAATGATAAAATAAACTGACAACACGGTGTATGGAGTAAATCGAATATTCGTGTAAGCATACTATACCACCATTTAATCAATTTGTAACTAAAAACAGTTTTCAGAGTGTTTTTGTTCAGAAGTTGTTCTGGGCCTAAAACCAATCAAGTTTGGGCACCCAGCCACATATGGAACAGACTATATTCAATGTGTTATTCTGGGCGTTGTTGATGGGACCGATGCCCCCATAAATATGTAATTTCACTGCATTATAATCACTAGTATGAGCATGTTTGATCTTCTGGTAAGATTATATATTATAAGTCGATATTCTTGTTAAATCATAAAAACAATCCAAAATAATATGAAGAAATAATTTATTTATGAATAAATTAAAATGCTGAGAGGCTACCGTCCCAATATACTCGTAACCCCTTTATCACATATTTTACAATACTTAGGACAAAATTGTTGTGCGGATGCTTTGTCGCTACATATGTTGTTGCCGGCGTCCAGCCACTGGCAGTTGATGCCGTCCATGTCTCTACATGGAGAGGTAGTTGTAGGTAAGGCAGTAGTAGTGGATATATCTGAAGACAGAACATAACTTGTTAAGCTGCGATAGTGGCAGCAGAAATCATTTTAAGTAAGAAAGACATACTTCATTGTCTTTATACATAAGACTGCTTGTTTTCTGGATAAATGTTTAAGATCATCCATATATACTGTATATAATGTGCGTTCCTCTTTGCCCTAATCGGAGGGAACGGACGGTTGTTAAATATAGATAGATAAAATTTGGTTGAGGATTTGGTCTTACAAGTTCAAAACTGAATTTTGAGCCTTATCTATAAATGGATGTGCTGATAAACACACGGGGACATTAATGTTCTATATTTCTACGTAGTGCAACCAATGCTGGGTCGGGATTGAGAAGGGCGAGTCAAAAGAGCTGACAAGAAGGAAAATACGACGCTATAGACGACATAATTATCATGAAACGAGAAATTTGTTATTTTTTTAGATTGAAATATGTATTCAGGTCAGCCAATCAGTGGAAATAATAACTTTTGTTCATTTGTTTCAGTGGGGAGGTGGTTCAGGACCGCAGGGAGATGAGAAACAAAGATGCGAAAAAGACGAGCATATGTTCACATACACTTAATAGTGTATGTGACAGGCTCAGGCACAACTGTGGTGGCTAGTGCGAACATCAGGGTCAGCCAGGTCATAGCATACAGATGTCCACAAGTGGTCACCAAGTAAAATACTTACAATGGTCACCCCGACTGAATGGTCATCTTATCTTTGAGAATTGTTCAATAATACTTATATTATTCTAATTACGAGAATGTACTGCTACATAGAAAAACGGATTGGTATCAGTATGTATTACTGGTGTTATCATCCGTATTCCTGCATCAGGTATTAAACATGGTTTGTAGCGGTCGGGTTAAAGAAGTAATATCAGTACTTATGTCTTTGCAATGCAAGATCGACATCATGCTGGTATCTGCTTGTATCCAGCCACTCTGAAAGAGAACACAATTTGTGTGTTACTTTCTATAATCTGAATTACTAGTCTTCATCCATGACAGGAGGATATGAGAGAGAGAGAGAGAGAGAGAGAGAGAGAGAGAGAGAGAGAGAGAGAGAGAGAGAGAGAGAGAGAGAGAGAGAGAGAGAGAGAGAGAGAGAGAGAGAGAGAGAGGGAGAGAGGGGGTCGTGGGAGAGAGAGAGTAGAATAAAATATTTGTTGTCTGATGTTTCGCTACAGATGTTTAGCAGAAAGGACCTACACCCAGAAGGAACTAGGATATCTAACGGCCACTTCCAGCAAATGCTCGAACTGTACATACCTGATTGTTATAGTTAACCATGTACCACACGCTTCCATCTGCCCCTTTAACGTCGTCAACAATTCCTGCACATTTGTCCTTTGGTAGCAATGGTGGGCCTTTGTCAAACGTAATTTGAAGTTCAACAGTTGCACATAAGCACTCCAATGAGCCTGCCAATGTAACACGAGTGAATGAGTATGTTTTTTCCCGCCGCTTTTTGCAATACTCAAGTAGCATCACCTTGAACAACACCAGGAAATGGGCTTCACACATTACACTTGTCTGGAGAAAAATCCCCGAGTGCTAGTGCAATGAGGTATTTGTTCCAACGTTTACATTCTTCATTCCCACATCATTTAATCAACACAAAAGACAGAATAAGTAAATATGTACATAGCAATAAACACAGTTTTGATTAGAATGGTTCATAACTTCACCATAAATAAGCACACGTATGGCTGGAAATATGAAACTGAATGTTGATAAAAATCAATATATTGTATGGGCCGATGAAAACAACCCCGACGGGAAAAACAATTAAAAAAATTGCTGCTATCACCTTTGCATGACTAATTAATGTAACAGGTCTCTTAACACATTATGAATGCCAAATTGCATTGGTTCTTCTGTTCAGGGTCGGTACATGCATGTAATGGACAATAGTTTCCCTCACCCCTAGAAGTATTACTATAGATATTTTAAGAAAAAGTGACGGATAATTTATAATGTGAAACAAAGGTCTTATCTTGGTAGACACCACCTGTTGACCCAACTCACGCGTGGAATGGAGGTTCACTCACCTTGTACATACACAACGAGGACAGAAATGCAAACAAAGCTGACAGCCACAAACATCTCTGCTGACAGTGTGCTGCACTGATGTGGTCCGGATGCCGTCCAACCGCCCAACCGCCAAACAGGCTTGTTGAAGATCACAGAACGGGCAGTTTTACTTTCTTGATATGCCCTTGCTAAGCATAGTGTCCTGAAATGTGGTCAACGTTTGTTCATCCCAGTGATAAGGAAAACAAGCCCATAATCTGGCGTTAAAGTAACATTCCCAGTGTAATGTCAAAATAAACAGGATCTGCTTCCTCCTATGCTCAGTCTGTTCTCTCCTATATTCAGTCTGTTCTCTCCTATATTCAGTCTGTTCTCTCCTATGCTCAGTCTCCTCTTATATTCAGTCTGTTTTCTCCTATATTCAGTCTGTTCTCTCTTATATCCACTCTGTTCTCTCCTATATTCAGTCTGTTCTCTCTTATATTCAGTCTGTTCTCTCTTATATCCACTCTGTTCTCTCCTATATTCAGTATGTTCTCTCTTATATTAAGTTTGCTCTCTGTCCTATATTCAGTCTGTTCTCTCCTATATTCAGTCTGTTCTCTCCTATATTCAGTCTGTTCTCTCCTATATTCAGTCTGTTCTCTCCTATATTCAGTCTGTTCTCTCCTATATTCAGTCTGTTTTCTCCTATATTCAGTCTGTTCTCTCCTATGCTCAGTCTGTTTTCTCCTATATTCAGTCTGTTTTCTCCTATATTCAGTCTGTTCTCTCCTATATTCAGTCTGTTCTCTCCTATATTCAGTCTGTTCTCTCCTATATTCAGTCTGATCTCTACTATATTTAGTTTGTTCTCACTCTGCTCTCTCATATATGCAGTTTGTATTCTCCTATATTCACTCTGTTTTCTCTTATATTAACTGTTCTATCTTATATTCAGTCTGTTCTCTTCTATATTATGAAGTGTGTTCTCTCCCATATTAAGTTTGTTCTGTACTAGATGCAGTATGTTCTCTGTTATACTCAGTTTGCTCGCTGTCCTATATTCAGTCTGTTCTCTCCAATATTCAGTCTGTTTTCTCCTATATTCAGTCTGTTCTCTCCTATATTCAGTTTGTTCTCTCCTATTTTCAGTTTGTTTTCTCCCATAGTAAGTTTGTATTCTCCTATATTCAGTCTGTTCTCTCCTATGCTCAGTCTGTTCTCTCTTATATTCAGTCTGATCTCTACTATATTTAGTTTGTTCTCACTCTGCTCTCTCATATATGCAGTTTATATTCTCCTATATTCACTCTGTTTTCTCTTATATTCACTGTTCTATCTTATATTCAGTCTGTTCTCTGCTATATTATGAAGTGTGTTCTCTCCCATATTAAGTTTGTTCTCTACTAGATGCAGTATGTTCTCTCTTATACTCAGTTTGCTCTCTGTCCTATATTCAGTCTGTTCTCTCCTAAATTCAGTCTGTTTTCTCCTATATTCAGTCTGTTCTCTCCTATATTCAGTTTGTTCTCTCCTATTTTCAGTTTGTTCTC